AAGTGTGGAAAAAGGACCAATTTCAAAAAAATAAAAATCATAATAATTTGGGCGTACCTTTGCGAGTGTTAATGAAAAAATACAATTTGTTTGATGGTTTCTACCTCATGACTCTGAAATTAGTAGAAACTGGTACATTTTCATTTGATTACTATTCATTCCCAGGCAATAGGTTAGTAATTTTAATGCACAAAATACAGCTGCACGGAGAATTTCAGTGAAGCTAATTAAAGTTAAAAGCGGAAAAAAATATGTACAGAATAAGGCTGATCAGAATTGATAAAAAGCGACTGTAGAGTGTGAAAGTTACAGACTGATATGTTCTTTGATATCCCATTTCATTTATGGTCGCGTGTATTTTAAAGCTACGTAGGTATCAAACATTTGAATAATTTTTGTATACTTTATACTGAAGCAGCACGTCCATTTCCCAAATTAAATATGTAAAACGAAAACTATACAAAATCATGCGATAATCATACGAGTTGCAGTCATTTGTGTTGAAGTAGATGCACTTCAAATGCTTTTATTCTGCAAGTGTACACAGAGTTCTCTATTAGCTATTTGTAAAATGCAATTTACTATCTGTTTAGCAAATTGCGAACTGTAATCTAAATATCTGTATACAGCTAAACAAATGTACACAAGTATTTGAATTGAACACAAAAAAAAGTACAATGAGTGCTTAGATGCTTATACATTAGGATGCCTCGAAAAAATCGCTGCTTACCTGTGTGCATCGTACAGTTTTTTTGAATTTAACTACGCCCACTACTATATATTTAGGCCTCAATTTAGCGAGCTGGAGTACGTATAAAAAAATATCTTTGAAACCATGTTGCTTATAAAACATATTTACGTATATGAAAGTATAATACGTTAATCCTAAAACTGAAAGAATTTGTTCCATGGACCGGAAATAACTGCTACGATGTATTTCAAAACCTGAAATATCAAGGCTTTCAATTTGCATAGAAGACAATTCTCGCCGTTCTTCCCTTTTCGTTTTTTCTAACATTTTTAAAAAGAGTACAATCTAAGCTGTTAAAAACTGAATTTTATTGTCTCAGTCAGATGATACCAGTTAAACCTAGCCAAATGGTTTTTTTTTTTGGGGCAAAATGCAGGGTTTTTCCAAACACCTACAAACTTTTCAAATCAAAAAACAAAAAAAAATCAAGTAATCAGTTTTATAGCATAATGTGCAAATTTCAAGTGGCTCATGATTCACATTGATTTTTTAACCATTTTTTTGCTGACGGTGCTGTGCATTTCCTTCAATTTGTTGTGTGCGCTGCATCTGATAGATAGTAACTATTTACCTCAGAAAAAAACCAATGCCAAACGGACTTACACTCTTGAATTCTTGAAGTTAATCAAGAACAATCGATTGATATCAAATTCACTTAAATGAGACTAAGGATTTGTTCTTTATTTGACCTATTTTTGAAAAAAAAATATATATATTTGGCTTGGCTTTACTGTTATCATCTGACCGAAATAATCAAAGTTTACTTTTTACTGTAATTGAATAACAAAAAATTTGTTAGTTGTTTTCCCAGATTTCTATTACAAAAGTCATAAAAGGTTGCGTTCCTGAAAGGTGTAAAATAAAAAACGAAACAAAATTTTATTGAAACTGTGAGAAATTTATTGGTTTTCTTGAAGACATACATATGTACATATCTTCTTTGAATTAAAAGATATTGTCAAATTTTTTTTACCAGAAAAAATAAAACTTTTTTCTAAGGACTTTTTACTGCAAAATATCTCGAAAACTAATTAAAATACTTATTAAGTTTTAAGCAAAATATCCAGCTCTCAAGAAAAACATTAAATTTATTAAAACAAAAAATACTCGAAATTTTTGAATCAGTGCGCAGCTTCTCATGAAAAATTGCAGCAACGGCAACGTACTTTTTCCAGAGTTGGACAAAGCATTTATAAAAATTTAGTTTTGGGTAGTTGAAAGCCTTTACCTGTATATACACGTAGCAGAATATTGGATTTAAATTTTTAAATTACCTCAAAGGTTTGTCTTTAAAAATAAATGTTAAGTAAGTAAATGTTGAATTATTCAGATAACAATGAAAGTAGCATTACAAAATTTGATTCAAGCTCAGCACAAACCAAAGTATTTTCAAAATGTCAACAGAATTTTGAAAAAAAAAAATATTAATGTAGTGCTTTTTAGATTTCTGATATATATGATATATCACACATCAGCTAAAATAACAGGTCAAAGTTTTTTGCCAAAAGTTTGCAAAATCAGGACTTTTCCCATATCATATAAAGAAATTTCGCCAAAGGAATGTTTTGAATATACCAAAAACTATTATAGTTATAGAAATGGTTCTGGCCTCCTGTCAAAGGTAATATTTAGAGCTATAAAGCAAAAATTTATAAAAACAAAATTCAAAAAATTTATAGAAATTTTAAATAAAAAAATCCTACAAAATATCCACCTTTTTTGCAAACTTTAAATGAATCTACATATGTAAAACATTTTTGATTTAATGTAAATTTATTACGTTCGAAAATTCATATAAAAACAAAAATATTGCGAATTTCAAGATCTTTTAAGATCAGTTAGAGGTATATTATAAATATAATTTAGCAAAATAGTTTTTTGTCTTTACTTTTTTAAAATATGAAATTCTGTAATTTCTTTTCTTTTAAATTTTTCTTTTTAAATATGGACACAAATATCACCTTTAAACCGAGACTGGAACCATTTTTATAACTACATATAATAGTTTTTGAGATAAAAAATAAACTTGAAAAATCTGGGGCATTGTGAAGCTTTGAATTTTCGAAAATACAAAATTTTGCCTTTAACAGAACTTTGTTATTATTTATGTTGAAAGAAAATTTCTAAGCAAAACTCACCCAAATCAGATAATAATAAGGGTCGATTCCAACTATTCGTCGATTCGACCTTTATATATAGTTATGTACCTACATACATATATTAGGGCGGGTCAATATATTTTTTTATGCACGTATAGCATAGGAGGATTCTACGTGTAATTCAAAGCAAATTTGCCATAGGTCTAAAATCAATTCGGAGTTTGCCGAATCGCGAAAATAGGTTTCAAAGAAAATATGCGAATTTTCACTGTTGCGCCCTCTGGTTTAAGTTTTAGAGAAATGTAAGTGCAGAAATGGACTTATCGTACCAAAAGAACCTTTAGAGCATATTTTGATACGAAATTAATGCACTACTTTACGATACTACAGTAAAATGCTAAGAAACCTATTTTCGCAATTTGGCCAATTCCAAATTAATTTTAGACCCATTGTTTCTGCGGCAAATTTTCTTAGAATTACACAGTGAATCCTTATCTGCTATATGCACATAGCCAAAAAAATCTCCCATACAAATTGACCCGCCCTAATGTATATGCAGTTTGGCATTTTTTGAACTTGAAAATCTTAGAAATGCATTATTTAGTACTTACCTTTTAAAGCCAAAAATTAAAAACGCTCGCTGATTGTTGATGTAGAGTATATCGTGGAAAGCTAGATGGCAGAATTCACGTCATGCAAAACGGATATGTTGCGAAGCGTTAATGCGCACACATGGATACACACTGAAATATTTAATTGTAGTGCACTTTTGATTGCACTGAATTAATGCTGCTGTTTGTTTTGGTTTTTCTTTTTGTTCTTGTTGAACTAATATCAAAACTTTTTGATTGCGTTGCCGCCACTTGCTTTGATCAATGTTTAGCGACGCTTACGATTACGGAATGCTGTAAGCACTTGAGAGCATGTACGAGTATGTATGTGTGTGTTTCACTTCAAGTGATGGCAAATTACGTGTTTCGAATTAATTTTCGTTCGTTATGAAAAATTGCTAAACACACGCGCACACATGCGTTTTATGGATTTATGTAACGTTTTTATTAGATATTGTTTTTTTGGCGATTTATTAAGATTTTTTAATATTTTTTCGAACACTTTGTCTATCATTCATTTGCTAGCTACTTTTTTCAAACGGCTTAGTGATTTTTTAACTTTAAATGATTTTTTGGTTTTTAATTGTCTTTTTTTTTTTGGGACTTCAAACACTTCGATTGTTTGTGTTTGTATTCGAAATTTCTAATTTTTCAAAATAGTTTTGAAATTCAGCTTTGTTGCAAATTTTGTTGCTGGCATTGTTGCTTTAGACGCTGTTGTTGATGTTCCAGCAGCGCTAACGGCTTTCGTTTAGTATGTTTATAAGCCATGATTGGCGCAATGTATTAAGCCTCCTTTTTCTGGTAGTGACAATATATTTTTTTTTTCAAATTTTATTTTATAAATTTTTTATTGTTGTTTAGCTAAGTTCAATGCGCATTTGGTATTTAAAAATGTAGCCAAATCGATTATCGCTTATTATTAATTCGTTGGCAGATTTTTTCTTTAATTAATTTTTTTTTTAAATTTTTATTTTGCTGAATTTTACATTTCTATTGCTAATGTTATTGCTATTAATTCTTATTTAAATGCAATCGATTTTTTGTGAGTGTTTACGAAATTTTCAAATTTGTTTACAATTTTTTACGATTTCATTTTCAGCTGGATTCGGATAAATTTTATTAAAATTTCGATTGCGAATATTGTGTTTCATGAATTTATATTTTTTTTTAATTTTGGCTTATTATGCTGCTAGTAATGTGTACTATTGATTTTTGGTTTATTTTTTAATGCGTTGTTTTTCTTTGTTCTATTTTATATTTCCGTTGCTTTAAATATTTTTTTTTAATGATATGTTTAATTAATTGCATTGCATTACGGTAAAATATTTGGACTCTATTTCAGTCTATTGAGCGTCGTTATTTCATTCAAAAATTTATTGTTGTTGTTTCAATCCCATAAAGTTGATATTTTTAATTTAGATGATTTGTTGTTGTTGTTTTAATCTTTATTTATACTCGTTTATTGTTAGCCAGCTTATATGGCACATTTAAAGAGTGCTAATAGTCTATTTTTTGTTGTTGCAGTTGCAGTTGTAGTTGCATTTTGCTCCATACAATTCCCTTCTGTTCTACTTATTATGCCGTGTTGTTGTTGTTCGCAGTGAGCGCAACTTTTACTGAGCTGAGTTGAAAATCCAAATGTTGGAAAAAACAAAACCAGCACACATTAAAACTTTTCAATTCAATTCCAATTCACTTCATGCTGCTTTGCACATTCGCGTCTCCGCTAGCTGCAAAAGACGAAGAGGAAAGTAATGATGAGGAGCGAACGAAAGAAAATGGAAAAACATGGTGGCATAAGTAAGTTGGGTAAATGTAAAAATAGCAGTTTTAAAACTTTGTTTTGCACGTTGACGTTAAATGGGTAATGAGCATAAAAGGTATAAGAGAAAAGCAAATGCAAATAAAAAAATAAAAATAAAATAAAAAACTGAAAATAAACAAAATTAAGACAATCTAAAATAAGTGGCACGTAAACTAAATTAAATGCAAATATGTAAATTAAAAAGTTTAAAAACATTACGCAGTGAAAATCGTAAGCTTCAATAAAAAACCACATAATTTATAAACAAAATTGCAAACTTATAGAAAATTATCCAGAAAAAACAAATAAATTTACGTGCGTACACTAGACCGTACGACCTTATAAGATTAAAGTCTTTTTATAAGGCAATTTCAAAAAAAAAAAATAAAATATTTTTTAGCCGAACCTAAGCGTCGTCTTAAGTATTAAATTTTTCGGTAACATATAAATTCAATAACAATATTTTTTTTCTAATAATTATACTGGATAATGATATAACTTCCTTACCAAAAATTTTATGATTTTGGGAGAGCTTTACAGGGCTGAGATATTTGAAAGTCGTTTGTAAGACAATTGAAAAACAGTAGGCTGTTAGTCTGAAAGGGTTTGTTTATTTTGGCAGAAAAGTCTTACAAAAAGCTTTTTTGACAGAAAGCACTTGCATATTATTTTGCCCGCGCCGGGTGAAAAAGCTCAACCTCCGAGTGAGCAAGGTATTGGCGTATCGAGAGATTCGGCCAGCGAATTTTTTTCACTTCTTAAAATAATATTCTTTAAATTTTAAAATTTTTTTGTTTAAAAAATAAAAACATATAAGTATATTTTTTAATGTCACATAAATTGCAGAAACATTTTTCATGTATTTTTTTATATAATTTTATTAATAAAATTTTATTTTAATTTTTAGATTTTGCTGTTCTACTGCTGTTATTTGCCTTTTAAGAAACTTTTTTTTTGTTTTGTTGGTTTTTATTTATTTTATATATTTTTTTAATATAATTAAATAGTCATTTATAATTTAGATTTTATTGTTTTAAAAAGAAAAATGATTTTAATTTAATTTTTAGAAACTTACATTAGCTATTTTGTTATATAAGTTATTTTTTTATTTATTTTTTGCTTTAATTTTTTATTGATTTAACAAGATAAATATTTTTTTAATATAATTTAAGTTTTAGTATTCTTTTAATTTTAGATTTTATTGTTTTAAAAAGAAAAATATTTTTTTTTTTTAATTTCATCTAATTTTTAAGAACTTAATTTGTTTCAATAAGTAGTTTACTACTACCCAACCGTTTTTAATTTTTTTCATAAAATTTTCCACATAATTCTTTGAGAAATAAAATTTTAAATAAATTACTTGCAGCCGTTTTTTCTTTCGATATACTGGGATTATTGATACGTTACTGACGTGCTTTCCACAGTTAATGTTTTTGTTTCATCCCCTTCATAATTCGTAACTTAACTCTGGTTAATTAAATTTGAAGAAACCTTATCACTAAAAGCTCTCCAGTTCTTTTAATTAGTCTTTTGAAAGAAGGAACAGAGCTTTAAAGACATTTTCCAGAATTGTCTAAATGTGCGACAAGAACTGAGTACTGGGTTAATAAGCACTAGAACGGCGTATTTACTTGAGGCCAATGGAACTTTGGAGTACAAAATAATTTTTCCGCGATACGTCATACTTTAACATCTGACTCTAAATGCCGAAGATATGAAAAAAGGCAAAAAAGGTGACACCAAAAAAACAAAATTTGTTCCAACTTGCCTTGCAAAAATACTTTAGACTCAGGGATGTACAGCGAGCTTTATTATCTGGTAGACCGTACATATATAATGTACACACACATACATAAAAACAATTAGAAATTATCAATTATGAACATTTTAGAAACCAGCCAACTGCCTTTATGGTCATACACCTCCTAAGCAAAACGGCATTTCATCTTGGCATTTTAAAATTCTTCGCTTTTAGAAAGTAGGTATTTACTTAGCTAACTTTTTTTCTCATTTGCAATGGAAAAGCAAAATTTTCACCTTCGGTAATGGGTTTCCCATGTTATCCTATCAACACTTGACTTGTTTGCTTTTTGCCTGCACAAACACCATAACAAGCATGTAGATGGCAGAAAGTAAAAAAAAAACATTGCTCCAAAAACAATGTGATATGCAATGAAAGCCAATCTCTTCAAATTTTAGCATTTTTTATTGTCAGTTTGTGCATCATATACTCAGTACGATAGATAGCAGAGCACATCCGATAAAGGCAAGATTATTTTTTGACAGTTTAATGGAGTGCAACATGTGGTAAGTTTGTTTTGAAATAATCTGATGTTTTTGACATAAAGGTGTCAATTACGTAACATTGTCGCTAACTTTCAATGGCTCTTTGGCTTGGTACCAAAACCAGCCTCATCTCGCAGTAAGCGTATTTGCTGGGGTATTTCTTAATACGTTTCCCTAGCATCGCAAATCATCCCAAAGCCCTGATTTCCTCTTCACTGTCAGAGTAAATTAACACTTTTTGAAGTGAAACTTTTTTAGCGGCGGTTGGTTGGTTGGGAGTAAATTGGCAAATTCAATGGAAATTGTATTGAGTGTATGCAAATGGTATTAATTCAACAAAAACATGCTAATAAAAGGTTAAAGAATAACACTAAGAAAAAGACCAATACAAGAGTGAAAGTAAAAGGGAGTACGTACATATATAAAGAAAAGGATAAAAAAGGTAAAAATAAAAACAAATACAAACAAGCATAAAGATAAAGGCTAAAATGAAGACCAAGGTAAATTTAAACACTTTACTTATATAACGGCGAAGGTGAAGGGGAATATGTAGATGAAGAAAATGATAAACATAAAATTAAAAACAAAGATAAATATAAGAAATTTCTTAAGGATAAAGAAAAGAATGAGGATGAGGATAACGATAAAAGTAAAGATAAATATAGAGGAATAAGTATTAAAATAAAGGTAATTTTAGAGAAAAGGATGTAGATGGAGACACAGAGAACAAATCTGATGTTTTTATCGATTTTGTTATCGATTATTTATCGATTTTATTATCGATTACTTATCAATTTTGTTATCGATTCTTAATCGATTTCGTTATCGATATGGTTATAGATTATTTATCGATCTTGTTACCGATATTTTTATCGAATTTTTAAGCGATTTTGTTACCGATTATTTATCGATATTTTTATCGATTTTGTTATCTATATTTGTATCGATTTTATTATCGATATTTTGATCGATTTTTTTGCTGATTTTGTAACAGATATTTTTAACGATTTTGTTATAGATATTTTTTATCGATATTGTTATTGGTTTTGTTATCAATATTGTTAAATATTATGTTATCGATATTTTTATCGAAGTTTTTATCGATATTTTTATCGAAGTTTTTATCGATATTTTTATCGATTTTGTTATCGTTTATTTATCGATTTTGTTATCGTTTATTTACCGATTTTGTTATCGATGTATTAATTGATTTTGTTATCGATTTTGTATTCAATAATTTTAACGATGTTGTTATCGACATTTTTTATCGATATTGTTATTGTTTTGTTATCGATATTGTTATAGATTTTGTTATCTATTATTTTTCGATTTTGTTATCGATTCTTTATCGATTTTGTTATCCATTTTGCTATCGCTATTTTTATCGATTTTATTATCGATTTCCTTATCGATTTTGCTACCAATATTATTTGCGGTTTTGTTATCGAAATTTTTACCTGTATTTTGCATTGGAGAGATGGACAGATTAGAAAACCTGCTGTTAGTAGCTGCTCTATATAAACATATGTATGTACTTCTCCTTTATTTTTAACTTTTTCTGACAATCAATTGACTTTTGGTGCCCATTTGCTCAATATTTTTTCCTTCCCTTGGCAGAAATTTCTTTGTCTCGAATAACGAGGCCTCCTTTGTGGCTTCTTCACGGATAAGTATACATATATTTTATCAATACATATGTATGTAAACATGTATGTATATATTTCACCTACATGTCACTTTAGGCTGCCATTAAATTTGACTGCCCTACTTTTAAGTTTCCAAAGAGAAAGCAGAAACCGAAGGCAAGAACTTACAAAAAAAGTAAACAGAACAGGAAAACACTGCAAAGGAAGCGATAAGAGCCCATATAAATTTCGACAATAAAATGGCCACTATAATTTTGTAATAAGATATATATATTTAAATGGTTGCAATTTTTGCTGCAAAGCCAAGACTTTTTCACTGCTCGTAATACATACATACATACATACATATACATATAATTTTTGCATTTCGTAGCATTTCAAATAATAAAAAAGAGATTGTAAATAAACAAATAAAATAATTGAAACTTTAAAACAAGACATGGCCTAACACAAACAAATTGACTAAAGGCAGCGCAAAAATTGAACTTAACAAAAAAAAAAAATAAAAAATAAAATAAACCAAAAAAAAAATATACGAGTAAAATAAATAGCGCACAAAAGCGGATATGAAATTGCATTACTGCAGTCGAAGTTCGAATAGCGTGAGTTCATGCACATGTGTGCCGGTCGTGCACGACAAACTTGCAAATTTCGATGCCATGTGCCCTTAACGGCAAGCGAGACACGGCCTCAAACACGTTAGCCAAGAAGAGCGCATCGGCCGACGTGCAGAAGAGGCGACAATGCATGCACTGACACACAAACCAAATAGCTGCACAATACAGGCACACACACACACACACACAGATTTGTATGCACGTTTGTGACTTTGTATTACTGTTTGTGTGTGTGTATGTGAGTGTGTGTGTGTGCCATAACGTGGCACTACTGCCACACATTATGCCACTCATTCACTCATGATGCCTTTATTCTATTTTATTGTGCAACAACGCCATTACGATGCTTTAGCTATGGTACCTACATACATACATAT